TTTAATGAATCTTGTTCTTGAAATTTCATAAAATGTACTGAATTGGAAGCAAAAACATAGTTCTAAGGGTTTTTATTACTTAATAAAAGTTCCAAAGTTTTTACTATTAGTAAATCAAAGTTCCAGAGTTTATACCATAGTTGTTCAAAGTTCCAAAATGATTAATATTGTAAATCAATGTTTCAAAGATTTTACTATAGTAAATCAAAGATCCAAAATTTTTACCATAGTAAATCAAAGTTCCAAAGTTTTCATTATTATAGTAAATCAAAGTTTCAAAGTTTTCACAATTATTAATCAAAGTTCCAAAGTTTTAACTTTGGTACTATAGTTAACTATAGTAACTATAGTATTTGTTAAGGTTAGATTAATGAAATTAATATGCATAAACAACAAAAGAAACTGGTGCATATTGATAAAAGTAAAAACATTTTTTCAAAAAAGCAGCAGAGAGATATTTTTTTCGATACAATCGAACTGCTTTACCGATTCTTAGAGTAAGTTTTCCTTAATTTTCTCAGTTTTTCTGATCGAATTTCCGAATCAAAACAAAAGGCACTTCAGAATGAATAGTAAAATATATTTTGGTGTGCCTTGAAGATTGAAAACACCTTATTAAATGATTTCGGTGCAATGATCAGTTTGTCTCGCAGTTCCAACATAATTCTATAGGAGTGGCTCTGTAGTAAAAGATTAAAATTTTTTTTTTGAAAATGTAACAATGTATTTTAAATACAACTACCGGTCACATGGAAGTGTAAAAACAAATAATTTGTCGTTGTTCTCTTCAAGCAAAAAGTCAAACGAGGGTCTAGAAGATATAATTGATTATGCAAGATGAAGTCACAAGTCCTAAGTAAAAGCCAATAAAGTGATCTGCCTTTGAGAAATGAAAGACAGTAGGATTGTTTGATCAAAGTTTCAGTAAATGATAATTTCTTTGTTTGGATTTCGAGATTATCACACATCTTCGACTGTGTCAAAAAATTTTCCCTGTGTCACACGCTTAAAATGTGGATCGGTACTGTGTCGGAGAAAATTTTACTGTGTCGGGGCCAACACAGTTACACAGTTCATAGAGAACCCTTTTATTATGTTCCCCAAACGAAGTTGGGGAACATATTGTTTTTACTCTGTTTCTTCTTCTTCTTATTATTATTAAGGTCTTCCGTCTTCACGGAAGACCTTATAGTGATTCTATTGTTTCTTATTATTATTATTATTATTATTATTATTCTTTTTTTTTTAGACAAAATTTTGTGCAGGCGATTTCTCGTAAACTATTCGGTGGATTTCAATGAAAATTTCAGGAATTGTAGGTCATTATATGAATTTTATATAAAATTCCGTTTGTTGGAAAATTTGGTACCAGTGCTAAGTTATGGGCAATTTCCTGATTTTAAAATGCAATTTTGTCTTCGAGTGTTCTCGAAAACGGCTAAATATATTAACTGGAGACTTGTTAGAGATGATAGACCATGAGTTATAGATGTGCAATTTTGACTTTGTTTGCGTCGTAAGTACTTCCGGTCGCTACAGGAAGTGAATTCAAAATGTACACTTTTTCAACTTTTTTTGTTTTTCAATATTTTTCTTTGATATGATTAATGGTAATAAAGACCCTACTGGAAAGGCCTAATATATAATTTATCTAAGAATTCATTAATCCACACACTAGATATTCGCATTTAAAAATCTGAAGCGTGTCCAAGATGGCGGCGGTCTCGGTAAACTCCGCCATTAAGCAAGTCGGGTTCTAAAAGGTCAGCTGAGTGTTTAGATGAACGAAACTTGTACCAAAAAGATTTATGAAATGTAAAGGATTCTTTTGATTGCTACATCGCAATTACGTTGCATTGAGTATACTTCTAACATGAGGTTTCCTCAAACTTCTATTGAAATCGCTTTTGTCTGCTTCTCAAAGTAGAATACAACATGACTACAAGTGGAAATACGATGACTTCAGTCACCAGGGAAAACTTATCCTAAACCATGGTTATAATACTTTTCAAGAAACTTGCATGACTTAATATTCACTATGTTTCTGAAGTATGACTTGACTTCTGTTTATTTTTCTTTACGCAGGCTTGTGATATATTAAATGAATAGAAAAAGACAAAAATAAGAAAAACATTTTTAAAAGATTGTTTATTAAAGGTTATATGAATATTCTTGTAATAAATGCAAGTTATTGAGATAAATAGTATCAGATTCCTTGACCGTCGGAGGACGAGTGATTTTTTTTTCAGTGAAACATTCCAGACTTTTCATGAACGTGTAACTCATCTCCACTTTGGGGGTAAACAGGATACAAAATTCGTGGAAAATCTTACCGAATTCACAGCTTTATTGTTACTTGGCCGTATACGAAATTATATTTGTATAATGTGATAAATATTCTCGTACTTTCTAACGCTCGAAATTCTGGTTATAAGAACATGCATTTCTAATTTTCATTGAAGCTATCACATCTATTAAATAAATCAAACATATCAAAGGAATAGCGTTAAGAACTACTTGTGACGTTTGGCACGAAATAATGCATCATGACCCGACTTAGTAGTAGACAGTGCAGAAATATATAACATTGGCATGTCTGTATATGGAGTTGCATGGGATAAAAAGTTGAATACATATCGAAAAAAAAGGAAAGAAAACTGTATCATCTGTTCATCATTAATAGATTATCTATCCTAAAAATTGCTGTTAAAATTCAAGTTACAAATTCCGATGTGATCATCTTGACAAAAGTTTGGCAAGTTGGCTGTCATTTTACAATTCCAAACTGAATTTTTAAAAATAAATGTAATGTATGTTGGAATAAAAAAAAAAGCAATCTCACGATATTCGAATGTTAAATTTGAAGCGGGTTTCCAAAGGTGTTATTGGTACCGCAATGGATTTTTACGCTGGCGACCCGGATTCGATCCCCCGTGTGTCCGATTTTTAAAATCACTTTTTCAGTTTGATTTTGCGTTGTTTTTTTTCTGAATCTGACGGAAGACCTCTCGTTGCTCGCAACGAGTTTCGTTTCTAGTTATTATTATTTTTCTTCTTCTTCTTCCTGGAACTTTTTTGTCCGGGAATGATCTTGTAAACTATTCGTCCGATGTAGGTAAAACCTTTTTAGGGTTAGTAGACATGTTATATAGATTTGCGGAATCAAGGTCATTTTGCGCGCACGTGCTTGCAAGAGCGTGCACGTGCAACACGTGAAATGACCAATATAATAGATATAGCCACAACTGTTCTATTTTTGGATGAAATGCTTTGAAACTCATAATGTGAGGATATATTAGTAGTATAGACATGACGACATGGTGAAAATAGCAAGATCTCACGCGCATGCACGTGCACTTCGCTCTGATTGGCTGCAACTAAAGTCTCAATATCTTTCTTGTTTTTTGACGAAATCGTTTGAAATTTTGAACATAGCCATGTATTAGGATATCCTACAACAAGAAATAAAGCAATTATCATGAAAATACGTGCATGCACGTGCGCTGCAATCTGATTGGCTGGAACTTTAAACAGCTATATCTCCCTTGGTTTTCAACCAAACAGGATGGGATTTGGAACATAGATAGATATAATGGACTTCTACAAGTAGGTATGCTCACCATGCACATACATACACGTGTGTGAACAAGTGCTGCAATCTGATTGGCTGAAACTTTAAATAGCTATGACTCTCTTAGTTTTCACCCAAATGGGGTGGGATTTAGAACATCGATAGATGTAATGGACTTCTACAAGAAGGTATGGTCACCATGCTCATGTATGCACGTGCGTGCACGTGAAATGAGATAAAATCAAACATACACTTGAATGAGCGTATTTTATTAATAATTTTGGATTGAATACTTTAATACTCAGTGTATTAAAATAAAGATTGTGCAGACAAGATGATAAGGTCATGACGCAAATGCATTCACATGTGCACGCGTGAAATGCTAAAGTTTAAATGATTTTTGTACACTTCTTTGTAAATGTTGTTAAAATCTCAGATGCATAGAGTTTGTCTTATTTAATGAAGCTTACAGGGAATATGGCACCAAAAGGGAGTTGGGGAGCGTTTGGGGAACATCTGTAACGGTCCCCGTTACAATTAGCACTAGTTCATAATAAAGATAATCAAAATGAAACAAAAAACTTTTAAAAACTTGACTTGGTCATATCTTTTCAACAGTTAGAAATTGTGTGTCTGTATTTCTCAGGTGTATTTCTTGTGACAATACCTTCATATATTTAACAACATTTATGATTTTTTGATTTTAACTGTTGGAGTTTGACTTGCATGTTGGACAATTTAATACATTCCCGAACCTGCCATACTGGGACATTAGTATTCCACAGATACATCTAGTTCTATCTACATTAGTGCATATATTGTTAACACATCAGTAAATGCAATTGTTTTGCCTTATTGTACACTGTTTTCAAATTTATAGAACTATTATAATTTTTTGTAGAAAAGTAAGTAAATAAAGATGTTCTCAAAGTTTGTGTGAATTGAGAGACTTTTCATAATGAAGTCTGAAGAAGTTCCATATATATACAACAATGTCTGTTAATTATAGAACATGAAGAAGAAATATTTAACGTTATTTGTTAATATTTTATTCATTTCAAAAACACGGGAAAGTTGTTTAAATTTGCTGCCGTATGCTTTAATTTAAAAAAAAAACTTCTTATCTGGGAGAATTTTTTCTTTGCAGAGTACTGGTGAAAGATAAGACAAAGGTTCTTTATACACTTTATTTCAATAGCTTTATATTAAGACATATTTCGATCATCACGTAAAATGCTAGCATTGCATTTTACTTCTCTTTTAAAACTGGCCCTAGGAATGAAATGCAGAGAGAATATTTTGACAACTGTAAACTTAACATTTATTGAAACACCCGAGGGCTTTGTTACATATTTTAAACATACTTATTTATTAGTAACGAAAGTATGTCTAGTTTTACTTTCCTCTATCTCTTTCTGTTCTATTATAGTTTGGATTGTGAGAAAAAGAAAACAAAGACAGGGAAAACGGAAAAACCACGGACTTTTGCGTACGTAATGTTTTTCTGCATTGGAAACTAACCTGTTTCTATTATTGATGATTACCAGGGGTTGCATGTAGCAGAACGTCGGAGAACAGGCGCTAAAACATAATACCTTCAATGTACTTATATATTTCCTATTTCATGTTTTGCAGGTTTTATATTGTCATTATTATATTAAAAATATTTTCTTTCACCATTTTCGTCTATAGTAGTCGGTACAACCTCAAAAATGACAACTTCCGATCTTAGCGTGTAAGGTATAAATTAACAAGACCGAGTCTAATTATTCCTACCCTAGACAATTCGATAATTTTCGTTATTCAATTCAAATGGTTATATTTATTGTTTTCATATAAAATAAAAGATAGAATGTTTACCACCAAATTTTTAGGGGACCATTTCGAAAGTTGTCAAATTTCACTATTTGAGGAAATGTGAATTCCTAGGAAAAGCGGCAAATTATACCTTTTTTCATTTGTTTTGTATTTCTGCCATAGAGATTTCTTCTTGAGTTGCACTTGGTTTTGTTAGCATCTTTAACTTTTAAGAGGCCATGCCAATAAGCATTGAGCTTCGACCCATATAAACCTGGAAAGTGGAAAAATTTATTTTTTGCTCAAATTTTGTGAACATGATGCATATGATTAGTCTTTCAAAAAAATATATCTACCCGGGCATATGACCTCTTGTTTCCATGGCAACCAGAGCATTTTGTCATACTTTATCAGAGAAATATTTGGAATGGCCTATCCTGTTATAATTCAAATATTTCACATCAAAGTCCCATGTATAATTTTATTATGTGGCTAATAAAGTGCTTTGAACTATATTTTTCTGTTTTCTACGTAAAATTTAATTTCTGCCTAATTTTATTTAGATTTTACCAATAGAATTATATCCCATTTAGAGCCATGTGGTTTGCAAATGCTGTGCACCTTCAGAAATTTCTATATATACCTGTTGAAGGAGAATGTTCTATTCAATATATTAAATAAATAAAATTGGGTAGACTCTTAAGACTTTAAGTAAAATATCGGATTGAATTGTTGTAAAACTCGGTTGAAAAACGATTGGATTGCTTCCCTTGCTTGAGCTCTCTAGTAAAGGAGACCGGAAAGAATGGAACAGACAACAATGGAGGAAATGCTGGAGAAAAGGGAAAACTTTTAACTCGGAGTAGTTGACAAAAACATATAATGGTATGTTAAATATGTATTTTTCATGTACATTTTTGGATAAACTTTTGATAACTTTATCTCTTTAAAGCAAGAATAAAGATAAGGATTGTACTTTCAGATTAATTTCTCTTCCTATGATGCGATATAGATATTGAGAGATGCAATGAACTTACTGCCTGTTATGTGACGCCTTATGTTTAATTCTGCAGTTGTTAGATTACTCCTTATACAATTAAAGATTGATAAATGTTAATAATGATATTTAATTAATTTATGCCTATGGTACGCCGCCTAGGATATTTGTGAATTATGTAAAGTGGTCTTGAGGGTACACTGCTGGTAACAAAATCCCTATATACACACATAAATCAATTTAACTCACCTTCTTCCCCATTTATAAATCAGAGTTTCAAAACCTAAACTATGTCATAATCTTAGTTTTTCTTAGTCTTTCATAACATCAATGGAACACACAAACTGACATAGGGTGAATTCACCCTATATCATACTCATGAATTTTTCTTCTAATCTGCCAAATGAGTTGGGAATGGTACAGTGTACATATACCAATTCAATGTGGAAAAATAGCATCAAAGTTATTTAAGTACCTTTAAGTTTTAGATGAAATATTTTACCTACTCAGTGGCGGATCCAGAAATTTTGAAAAGGAGGGGGGGCAAATGTTAATTGTTCCACTGTTTAACTGATTAAAGCTAATTATATACATTGACTAGCATAGAGAGAATTGCATACATATATAATATGGTTATGTAGTCTTCACAGAAGATAGGATGTATATACATATACAATATGTTAATCCTACTACATGTATCACTTTTTCAGTAGTAATACATAAACTTTGGTTTTTTTTTTACAGCAAAAGGTAGTTGAAGATAACATCCTGTTCCCCTAAAGAAGCCACTGGAGGAAATCTGCATGTGTCTTGTTTAGAACAATAATTTAAGTTTTCATATAATTGTTTTACCATGTTCCAAATTAATTGCCACATAGCTGTCTAAAAACCAGTCTATCCCCAGAAGTGAATGTGAAGGAATGGAATGGAGGACTATGTGTGTTATGTATTTTTTTTTAAATATGATATGGAGAGTTAATTCATGTAATGCCCAAATCACAGGTAAAACTTAAACCTGCCTGGACTCTTTGTATTGTTTATTTTTAGCTTTATGTCTGCGTAAACCAAATTTTAAACAAATAAACATTCCAAGAATATCATGTTTTTTTAAATATTAAAAAACATCTTGTATTTTGAGCTATTAGGAAATGGGACTTGCAAGTATAAGTTTTATTTTTGATTTTCCAAGTTAAAATGGGTTTTTTTTTTATTTATTAACAGGTATTTTCTTAAGCATGTTAAGGAGTAATTGTCAAGAGTTGAAGCATTATTCATACACTTAAAAGAAACCTCCTCCCTAAAAAGGAAATGAAGATTGTGCAAAGGGGACAAATTATATTTAATTTACTTTATCAAAACACAAACAAAACTAAAAATATGTTCATAAGACATGAATGCCCCGTCGAGGTTATATGAGTAATGAAGCAATGAAATTTAGTGTATGAAATTTGATCAGAATATCTTGAATAGTGATGCAGTTGAATTGCCTACTTTAGTATGTATTAGCATATTTGAAGTTTGACAGTAATTTCAGAAAAGTGAGGTCAAGGTCAAAGGAAATGCCAAGGTCAAAAAATGTTGATGCAATTGAAAAGCTCTCATCAGTATGTATTTCAGCATATGAAGTTAAAAAAAATATTAATATGAATGGTTTCTTTTAAACTGATTTAAACACAATTTGATAAAAGTGAGGTCAAGGTCAAATGAAAAGACAAGGTCAAAAATGTTGATGCAGTTGAATTGGTTACATTTGTATGTATCAGCATAGGAAGTTTGATAACAATATCTTGGATGGTTTCTTTGAAACTGAGCTTTGAACTGAGCTAAACTCAAAATGTGACGAAGGAAGGACGGAAGATGGACGTGTCAAACGCTATATGCCCCGGCTATATTCATGGCAGGGCATAAATTGAGGGGGAGGGTTGTCGCGTGAACATGTTTTTACACAATGTGGTCAAATTAATTTTTGTTAAATAATTTTTAGTCTAAATAAACATTAACTGTAGTTCAGTCTGACATGAATGACATACTAGTAAGAAAAGCTAGGGGGAACATAAAATAGATTTTTCATTGCATTTTCCTGTAAGTGCTTTCAGTACATGAAGAATTGTTTTAAATGAGAAACTTTTAAAGGCGAATCATAACTGTTCTTAATGGGCTTTTCTATACTGCAGGGCAGAAAAATCTTGGGAAACATCAAGGGTATTTTAATCATTATTGATGTTGAAGCATCAAAATATTTAATGTTGATTAAAGGTTGATCATGATGAGTTACTTTGCAGTTTGCACATGTTTCAAATACTTGGTATATGTATTTCAACAACTGATCTTGCCGCTTTGGTCAATGTCAACAGTAGAACATGAATTTCTCTTCTTGAATTGTCAAACAGTTTACAAACACTATGTATCAATGTATGAAATATTTGAAGCAGGGTTCAAAATATCAAGAACCATGTAGATTTAGTTAAGAAATTATTAGACAAAGAATAATTTGACCTTGAGGTCAGAGGTCAAGGGGGGTAGTGGTGACTTCTATTGCCTAAAATCTTTCACTTATCATACCCATTTCACACATATTCGCGTTTACCAGGGGGGTCTGCGTTTTCCAAAGGGGGTCCAATGGTAACTATTTTGTTGTCTTAGTATATACATTTTTTAACCCCGAAAATTCCAGGGGGGGGGGGGGGGTTCCTGACCCCCCCGACCCCCCCTCCAGATCCGCGCATGACTTAATATATTTAAGATTTAATTTGTTCAGCTACTGTATACATGCAACCTTTATTGGTCATTTTCAAATTGATCAAAATGCCTCTTATTATACCCCCCGCAAACGACGTTTGGGGGGTATATAGGAATCACCTTGTCCGTCTGTCTGTCTGTTCGTCTGTCTGTCTGTCCGTCTGTCCGTCCGTCCGTCTGTCTGTGCATTCGTGTCTGGTCCATATCTTTCTTACAGAGGGACATTAGAATCTACTACTCCACACTAAGATTGCTCATGACCTAAGGGTGTGTCATGACCTTGACCCAAGGTCATTTGGGAAAGTTCAAGGTCACTGGAAGAAAAATTTCAAAATTCCTGTCCGGTCCATATCTTTTTTATGGATAAACTTGGTAGGTTCTCATTTCATGCAAAGATTGCCCATGACCCAGGCGTATGTCATGACCATGACCCAGGTCATTTTGGGAAGTTCAAGGTCACTGGTAGAAAAATTTCATAATTCATGTCCTGTCCATATCTTTCCTATGGACAAACTTGATAGGTTCTTATTTCACACAAAGATTGCCCATGACCCAAGGGTGTGTCATGACCTTGACCCAAGGTCATTTGGGGAGTTCAAGGTCACTGGTAGAAAAATTTCATAATTCGTGTCCAGTCCATATCTTTCTTATGGATAAACTTGGTAGGTTCTCATTTCACTGAAAGATTGCCCATGACCCAAGGGGTTGTCATGACCTTGACCCAAGGTTATTTTGGGAAGTTCAAGGTCACTGGAATAAAAATTTCATAATTTGTTTTTGATACATATCTTTATTATGGAAAAACTTACCTCTGAAAAACCCAGCGGGGGGTATTTTGTCCTGTTTGGACAGTTCTAGTTTAGAATTATGACATAAAGTTCACATTTCCCTGCCATTTTTGCATATTTTGTATAAAACTGCTTATTTTCAAGCAGTTTTTCATCAGAAAATATAGAGTGCAGACTAGAACAAACTTTATTCTTTTACCAAAGATGTATCTATCCAATTATAATTAGTGACAGAAAAATTATATATGTTCTACACTGCACTCTGTTTCCCATAAGACAAAACATCAAGAAAAGGCATATTTTTGCCTTTTTTGGTTAGATAACAAAAAAGCATTATTTCTCATGTCATTTACAGCCAATGAGTGCATATAAATATGAAATATATTTGGAAATATTTCTAATATATCCTCTTCTTCAAATTAAATATCAATCAAACATATTTCAATATCATTTTAAAATGTTGAGTTTTAGGGGGCCAAAATTGGGTCTTATCATATATAGTCCTTTATAATTTAGCATTGAAGTCAAAGGTCAAGGTGAAAAGAAGGAAATGTTTCTAATATATACTCATCTCCGAATTAAATATCAATTAAACATATCTTAATATCATTTTAAAATGTTGATTTTTAGGGGGGGCAAAATTGGCTCTTATCATGTATAATCCTTTAAAATTTGACATTGAAGTCAAAGGTCAAGGTGAAAAGAAGGAAATATTTCTAATATATCCTCATCTTCAAATTAAATATCAATTAAACATATCTTTATATCATTCTAAAATGTTGATTTTTAGGGGGGCAAAATTGGCTCTTATCATGTATAGTCCTTTATAATTTGGTATTGAAGTCAAAGGTCAAGGTGAAAAGAAGGTTATGGTATTTTATGACTTATTTTCATTCCAGATGCACCAATCTGTTACATTTGACATTGTTTCTTATAGGATAAATGACTTAAAATACCATGAACTATCTGCAGGAAATCATCTTTAAATGCCTAAATTTGCATATCTTTGAATCTCCATGGCAACATTGTTTTTGATTGTCTACCCAATTTTATTTTTTTAATTCTTTAATTAACCCAACCCTAACAAAATCACACTAAAGAGTTTATAAGTAGTTGCACAGCATTTTTTAAAAAGCCTTTCAAAAAATGGTGCAAATTCAACTATTTTTTTGTTCAAACCATATCTCTTCTTCCCATCACCATAGCAACGTACCGAAAAAATGTAATCATATTTAGATGGTCACCAAAGAACTTAGAATTAAGTCCTCTTTAAGGCATAAGTAATTGCAAACAATCTTTTTACAACATCTATGTGCATATACACTCTTTTTATGGCAATATTTGCCTGTTTTGAAAGTAAAAAATCTATTTTGGTAACTAAGGAAATGTTTTTCCTTGGATACGAGAGTTTCGTTATGGTTAAAATCAGTATTTTTGTACTTTTTTGTTTAATTGTGATGGAAGTAATCCATAAACACTGATTTCAAGAAAATTAAAATTTTTGACTTTCCATTCAAAGCTCAATGCTTACTGGCATGGCCTCTTAATAAGGACGCCAGGCTGCACTGGCATACTCAACTATTGGTTTTACTATTAATCTTCTTGTGTGTAATACAGATAAATTAGAAAAGTAATGGATAAAAATTTTGCTATAATTATATAATCTATAGACTTCAACGGGACTTACTTAAAGTATTTCGCCACGACCTGTAAGTCCCCCTTAATGGTAGCTTAAAGGTTGTCTAAAAGCAACCATAAAGGATCTGTAAGCCACCATTAAGCTACATTTAAGCACCCATTAAGGACTCTGAGATATCTTAATGGAAACTAAATGGCGGTGGGAATGTTACTTAAAGGTGCTTAATGGTGACTAAAAGACAACCATTAAACCACCAATAAGGACCTATAAGCCACTATTAAACCAGGCTTAAAGGGTGTGCTTTATCTTGTGAGTAACATTGCAATGAAAATATATTGGATGACATTGCAGAGAAATTTCAAAAAAACTTAATTATAAATATGTTCCGGTTTACCAAAAATATCAATAACAAAGCTTATTTAGTGTTTATTGTAAAGCGCCAGTTCACGAACCTCTTGATAATCCTCGTACTTAAATATTTGTAAGAAAGAGAGTTTCTTTTTTCAGGATAACAAATACAACTTATAAATAATACTTAAGAATTCAAGGTCAAAATTAAATGATGCAGAAATCCACGGATAAAATTAATATGGCTTACTCGAAGGGAAAATAAACTACGAAAAAAAATGCTTTTATATTTTGGTGTATTTTTGCACACTGTGTACACAAGGTTAGAGGAATGGTAAGATACGTGGCTTTAAAAGTATTCTTATTACTAAGTTGGAAGTTGAATGCAAATACCCACAATGAGTTTAATGAAATATGATATACATATAAGGTACTCAAATCCTCTGTCAGGAAAGATAAGTCTTCAATTTATTATTTATTTTAAATACTGTAGACTGGGAAATTTAAGCCCCTTTCACCCTAGTCTAGCTGGCGTGCGCGAATTTAAATCGGCGAAAGGGCGAAAATAACACGGGGCGAAAATAACCATGTATACAGTACTCTCAAAATGAAGGTTGAAAATTAAAACTTTTCATTCAACAATTTTCATGTCATAACTCTCAGTGTGTTTCAAAGTTCTTTGAAGTTCTAAGAAAGAAATTAAAAGACTTTTTCCCCTATAAAAGCTTTATTAAACTGCATATTTACATAGAGACAATGTTCTTTTCATCTAACCATAAAATAAATACACTGTACCGATGTTTGTTAAGAAAATGCATAGTAAATGTTTAATTCACATTTTCTGAAAATTAATACGAAATTTACTTATATTAACTATAAATGTAATAAGCTTTAACGATGAAGATTGAAAAATGATCATGGGTACTTGTATTTACACATTACTTCAGAATTCAGAGAAATTTTTGTAAGCATTTTTAATTAGTCAAATGCATGATGTTCAAAACCTGAGGATCAGAGTACCTTTAACATAATTTTACTAATATTGGAGAGGGAAAGATTGAACTTCATATATTTCCATTCCTAATTTTTTTTTCTCTGCGATAACTCTTTGAAAGTTGTCGGAATTTATTTCTTGATAATTCTGCCGAAATGTAATTTAGGCAGGTCGATAGGTCAGCAGCTAAGGAGGCCTAATACGCATGCAAATCTCGTGCGCATCTGTCTCTGTGTCTGACGCTAAGGAGGCCAAATATGCATGTAAATCTCGTGCGGCTGCCTTTGTGTTTGACGTCAGTGTGCGAGGACTATTGAAATTGGCATGGAAGTCCTCGTGTATTTTAAATCTATTAGTCTATATTTTTAATGTCTAATTTTACAATTTTATTTCATAATGAAATGGAAATATAAGGAATCACTGTCTAGTTTTGAGAGTATGCCAGGGACATCAACAATAGTGGGAAACATGGGATAATTTTAGCATAACGAGCTTCGCCCGTTATGCAAATTATCCCATGTTTCCCACTATTGTTGATGCCCTGGCATACTCTCAAAACTAGACAGTGATTCCTTAAATATACTCAAGACGTATTTATTGAAGAAAAAAAGTTATTATATATTATAAACTGTGTATGATGACATAATTTTAATTTGAATTCAGGAAAAGGTAAAGAAACAGACATAAAAGCCTATAAGGATATGGAAGAAATGGAATTTTTAGGTTCGGAGACGGAGCATAACGTTAAAATGGCTGCTTTCAAAAGTGAAACAGAAGATAGTAAGCATCGTTTCTTATGCTGATTTTAGTAGTTGCACCTGATCTTGAAGCTTATATGACTTTTCCTGATTACGATTTGTTTGAAATTTTTCTAACTGTCCTTCTATTTGCCTGTCCGTCCGTCTGTAAACAATTCAATATACAAATTTAGATTTTTCGAGAAGAAAGAATTTTTATATGACGTTTATTTTGTCAGTTCAATTGATTTGAACTATAATATAGATCTAATCGGTATCCGATGGATATCAAATAGAGCTTTTTGGAACTGTCACTGTCAAATTTCCTCTGATTTACAGGATGATTCATTTTATCAAATGAAATGAGGACTATTTGTCAGGTTTACTTTAACTCACATACATGTAGCTACATAAAAATTCAAAACAAAAATGGGGGTCCGTCTTTTACCATACGGTGCATTTCATGCATGTACGACCCTTTTAAGAAGTTTTCTTTTAAGACATTTTCTTTTAACATTTTTTTATCAAAATGAATTTTTGGATCAACCACCGTCTTTTTTATCTTAATAAGTCACATTTAAAATTTTGACAAGAAGAGTTTTAAATTACTTTACATAGTAGTGAATAATTTAACCTTTCGGTACTCAAATGTTATTTTTCTGGTGTCAAAAATTCAAAAAGCGATAAAATCATTCAAAAGAAATTGCATGTTTTAATAAGAAGAGTGGTGAAACTTATCATATATTCAGAAAATAACTTAAAATGTGGGCGTTTTTTTATAGGTGAAGGATATGGAGATAACGTACAGTATTTCAATCTCAAAGTCCATAAAACAATACAAAATAAGAGCAGAGCAAACATGTACCTCAGAAACATCAGAGGTGAGATCATGTGCCATGGAGGAGTGAGCATCCCTTGCCAACCGGTCACACCCGCCGTGTGCTCCTTTTCATGATCAGGCAATAACGGAGGGAAAATCCGTCGTCAATTCAGTGTATTAATAATGGACTAACAATTTTTTTGTTTTTCTTCATTGGTAACTAACCTGTTTCTATTATTGATGATTACCAGGGGTTGCATGTAGCAGAACGTTGGTGAACAGGCACTAAAACATAATACCTTCAATGTAGTTACATATTTCCTATTTCATGTTTTGCAGGTTTTATATTTTCATTATTATATAAAAAATATTTTCATTCACTATTTTCGTCTATAGTAGTCGGTACAACCTCAAAATATGACAACTTCCGATTTTAGCGTGTAAGGTATAAATTAACAAGACCGAGTCTAATTATTCCTACCCTAGACAATTTGAAAATTTTCGTTATTTAATTCAAATTGTTATATTTATTGTTTTCATATAAAAAAAAATCGAATGTTTACCACCAAATTTTTTAGGGGACCATTTCGAAAGTTTTACTATTTGAGGAAATGTGAATTCCTAGGAAAAGCGCCAAATTATACCCTTTTTCATTTGTTTTGTATTTCTGCCATAGAGATTTTTTCTTGAGTGGCACTTAGTTTTGTTAGCACCTTTAACTTTTAATAAGGATTCCAGGCTGCACTGGCATACTCAACTATTGGTTTTACTATTGATCTTCTTGTGTGTAATACAGATAAATTAGAAAAGTAATGGATAAAAATTTTGCTATAATTATATATTCTATAGACTTGGGACTTACTTAAAGCATTCCGCCACGACCTGTAAGTCCCCCTTAATAGTAGCTTAATGGTTGTCTAAAACCTACCATAACGGACCTGTAAGCCACAATTGAGCTACCATTAAGCTACATTTAAGCACCCATTAAGGACTTTGAGATAGCTTAATGGAAACTAAATGGCGGTGAAAATGTTACTTAAAGGTGCTTAATGGTGACTAAAAGACAACCATTAAACCACCATTAAGGACCTATAAGCCACTATAAAACCAGGCTTAAAGGGTGTGCTTTATCTTGTGAGTAACATTGCAATGAAAATATATTGGATGACATTGCAGAGAAATTTCAAAATAACTTAATTATAAATATGTTCCGGTTTACAAAAAATATCAATAACAAAGCTTATTTAGTGTTTATTGTAAAGCGCCAGTTCACGAACCTTTTGATAATCCTCGTATTTAAATATTTGTAAGAAAGAGAGTTTCTTTTTTCAGGATAACAAATACAACTTATAAATAAGACTTAAGAATTCAAGGTCAAAATTAAATGATGCAGAAATCCAAGAATAAAATTAATCTGGCTTACTCGAAAGGAAAATTAACTTCGAAAAACAATGCTTTTATATTTTGGAGTATTTTTGCACACTGTGTACACAAGGTTAGAGGAATGGTAAGATACGTGGCTTTAAAAGTATTCTTATTACTAAGTTGGAAGTTGAATGCAAATACCCACAATGAGTTTAATGAAATATGATATACATATAAGGTACTCAAATCCTCTGTCAGGAAAGATAAGTCTTCAATTTTTTATTTATTTTAAATACTGTAGACTGGGAAATTTAAGCCCCTTTCACCCTAGTCTAGCTGGCGTGCGCGAATTTAAATCGGCGAAAGGGCGAAAATAACACGGGGCGAAAATAACCATGTATACAGTACTCTCAAAATGAAGGTTGAAAATTAAAACTTTTCATTCAACAATTTTCATGTCATAACTCTCAGTGTGTTTCAAAGTTCTTTGAAGTTCTAAGAAAGAAATTAAAAGACTTTTTCCCCTATAAAAGCTTTATTAAACTGCATATTTACATAGAGACAATGTTTTTTTCATCTAACCATAAAATAAATACACTGTACCGATGTTTGTTAAGAAATGCATAGTAAATGTTTAATTCACATTTTCTGAAAATTAATACGAAATTTACTTATATTAACTATAAAATATAATAAGCTTTAACGATGAAGATTGAAAAATGATCATGGGTCCTTGTATTAACACATTACTTCAGAATTCAGAGAAATTTTTGTAAGCATTTTTAATTAGTCAAATGCATGATGTTCAAAACCTGAGGATCAGAGTACCTTTAACATAATTTTACTAATATTGGAGAGGGAAAGATTGAACTTCATATATTTCCATTCCTAATTTTTTTTTCTCTGCGATAATTCTTTGAAAGTTGTCGAAATTTATTTCTTGATAATTCTGCCGAAATGTAAATTAGGCAGGTCGATAGGTCAGCAGCTAAGGAGGCCTAATACGCATGCAAATCTCGTGCGCATCTGTCTCTGTGTCTGACGCTAAGGAGGCCAAATATGCATGTAAATCTCGTGCGGCTGCCTTTGTGTTTGACGTCAGTGTGCGAGGACTATTCAAATTGGTATGGAAGTCCTCGTGTAATTTAAATCTATTAGTCTACATTTTTAAAGTCTAACTCTACAATTTTATTTCATAATGAAATGGAAATATAAGGAATCACTGTCTAGTTTTGAGAGTATGCCAGGGACATCAACAATAGTGGGAAACATGGGATAATTTTAGCATAACGAGCTTCGCCCGTTATGCAAATTATCCCATGTTTCCCACTATTGTTGATGCCCTGGCATACTCTCAAAACTAGACAGTGATTCCTTAAATATACTCAAGACGTATTTATTGAAGAAAAAAAGTTATTATATATTATAATATTATAAACTGTGTATGATGACATAATTTTAATTTGAATTCAGGAAAAGGTAAAGAAACAGACATAAAAGCCTATAAGGATATGGAAGAAATGGAATTTTTAGGTTCGGAGACGGAGCATAACGTTAAAATGGCTGCTTTCAAAAGTGAAACAGAAGATAGTAAGCATCGTTTCTTATGCTGATTTTAGTAGTTGCACCTGATCTTGAAGCTTATATGACTTTTCCTGATTACGATTTGTTTGAAATTTTTCTAACTGTCCTTCTATTTGCCTGTCCGTCCGTCTGTAAACAATTTAATATACAAATTTAGATTTTTCGAGAAGAAAGAATTTTTATATGACGTTTATTTTGTCAGTTCAATTGATTTGAACTATAATATAGATCTAATCGGTATCCGATGGATATCAAATAGAGCTTTTTGGAACTGTCACTGTCAAATTTCCTCTGATTTACAGGATGATTCATTTTATCAAATGAAATGAGGACTATTTGTCAGGTTTACTTTAACTCACATACATGTAGCTACATAAAAATTCAAAACAAAAATGGGGGTCCGTCTTTTACCATACGGTGCATTTCATGCATGTACGACCCTTTTAAGAAGTTTTCTTTTAAGACATTTTCTTTTAACATTTTTTTATCAAAATGAATTTTTGGATCAACCACCGTCTTTTTTATCTTAATAAGTCACATTTAAAATTTTGACAAGAAGAGTTTTAAATTACTTTACATAGTAGTGAATAATTTAACCTTTCGGTACTCAAATGTTATTTTTCTGGTGTCAAAAATTCAAAAAGCGATAAAATCATTCAAAAGAAATTGCATGTTTTAATAAGAAGAGTGGTGAAACTTATCATATATTCAGAAAATAACTTAAAATGTGGGCGTTTTTTTATAGGTGAAGGATATGGAGATAACGTACAGTATTTCAATCTCAAAGTCCATAAAACAATACAAAATAAGAGCAGAGCAAACATGTACCTCAGAAACATCAGAGGTGAGATCATGTGCCATGGAGGAGTGAGCATCCCTTGCCAACCGGTCACACCCGCCGTGTGCTCCTTTTCATGATCAGGCAATAACGGAGGGAAAATCCGTCGTCAATTCAGTGTATTAATAATGGACTAACAATTTTTTTGTTTTTCTTCATTGGTAACTAACCTGTTTCTATTATTGATGATTACCAGGGGTTGCATGTAGCAGAACGTTGGTGAACAGGCACTAAAACATAATACCTTCAATGTAGTTACATATTTCCTATTTCATGTTTTGCAGGTTTTATATTTTCATTATTATATAAAAAATATTTTCATTCACTATTTTCGTCTATAGTAGTCGGTACAACCTCAAAATATGACAACTTCCGATTTTAGCGTGTAAGATATAAATTAACAAGACCGAGTCTAATTATTCCTACCCAAGACAATTTGAAAATTTTCGTTATTTAATTCAAATTGTTATATTTATTGTTTTCATATAAAAAAAATCGAATGTTTACCACCAAATTTTTTAGGGGACCATTTCGAAAGTTTTACTATTTGAGGAAATGTGAATTCCTAGGAAAAGCGCCAAATTATACCCTTTTTCATTTGTTTTGTATTTCTGCCATAGAGATTTTTTCTTGAGTGGCACTTAGTTTTGTTAGCACCTTTAACTTTTAATAAGGATTCCAGGCTGCACTGGCATACTCAACTATTGGTTTTACTATTGATCTTCTTGTGTGTAATACAGATAAATTAGAAAAGTAATGGATAAAAATTTTGCTATAATTATATATTCTATAGACTTGGGACTTACTTAAAGCATTCCGCCACGACCTGTAAGTCCCCCTTAATAGTAGCTTAATGGTTGTCAAAAACCTACCATAACGGACCTGTAAGCCACCATTGAGCTACCATTAAGCTACATTTAAGCACCCATTAAGGACTTTGAGATAGCTTAATGGAAACTAAATGGCGGTGGAAATGTTACTTAAAGGTGCTTAATGGTGACTAAAAGACAACCATTAAACCACCATTAAGGACCTATAAGCCACTATAAAACCCGGCTTAAAGGGTGTGCTTTATCTTGTGAGTAACATTGCAATGAAAATATATTGGATGACATTGCAGAGAAATTTCAAAATAACTTAATTATAAATATGTTCCGGTTTACCAAAAATATCAATAACAAAGCTTATTTAGTGTTTATTGTAAAGCGCCAGTTCACGAACCTTTTGATAATCCTCGTACTTAAATATTTGTAAGAAAGAGAGTTTCTTTTTTCAGGATAACAAATACAACTTATAAATAAGACTTAAGAATTCAAGGTCAAAATTAAATGATGCAGAAATCCACGAATAAAATTAATCTGGCTTACTCGAAGGGAAAATTAACTTCGAAAAACAATGCTTTTATATTTTGGAGTATTTTTGCACACTGTGTACACAAGGTTAGAGGAATGGTAAGATACGTGGCTTTAAAAGTATTCTTATTACTAAGTTGGAAGTTGAATGCAAATACCCACAATGAGTTTAATGAAATATGATATACATATAAGGTACTCAAATCCTCTGTCAGGAAAGATAAGTCTTCAATTTATTATTTATTTTAAATACTGTAGACTGGGAAATTTAAGCCCCTTTCACCCTAGTCTAGCTGGCGTGCGCGAATTTAAATCGGCGAAAGGGCGAAAATAACACGGGGCGAAAATAACCATGTATACAGTACTCTCAAAATGAAGGTTGAAAATTAAAACTTTTCATTCAACAATTTTCATGTCATAACTCTCAGTGTGTTTCAAAGTTCTTTGAAGTTCTAAGAAAGAAATTAAAAGACTTTTTCCCCTATAAAAGCTTTATTAAACTGCATATTTACATAGAGACAATGTTCTTTTCATCTAACCATAAAATAAATACACTGTACCGATGTTTGATAAGAAAATGCATAGTAAATGTTTAATTCACATTTTCTGAAAATTAATACGAAATTTACTTATATTAACTATAAAATGTAATAAGCTTTAACGATGAAGATTGAAAAATGATCATGGGTACTTGTATTTACACATTACTTCAGAATTCAGAGAAATTTTTGTAAGCATTTTTAATTAGTCAAATGCATGATGTTCAAAACCTGAGGATCAGAGTACCTTTAACATAATTTTACTAATATTGGAGAGGGAAAGATTGAACTGCATATATTTCCATTCCTAATTTTTTTTCTCAGCGATAACTCTTTGAAAATTGTCGGAATTTATTTCTTGATAACTCTGCTGAAATGTAAATTAGGCAGGTCGATAGGTCAGCAGCTAAGGAGGCCTAATACGCATGCAAATCTCGTGCGCATCTGTCTCTGTGTCTGACGCTAAGGAGGCCAAATATGCATGTAAATCTCGTGCGGCTGCCTTTGTGTTTGACGTCAGTGTGCCAGGACTATTCAAATTGGCATGGAAGTCCTCGTGTAATTTAAATCTATTAGTCTACATTTTTAAAGTCTAACTCTACAATTTTATTTCATAATGAAATGGAAATATAAGGAATCACTGTCTAGTTTTGAGAGTATGCCAGGGACATCAACAATAGTGGGAAACATGGGATAAATTTAGCATAACGGGCTTCGCCCGTTATGCAAATTATCCCATGTTTCCCACTATTGTTGATGCCCTGGCATACTCTCAAAACTAGACAGTGATTCCTTAAAGATACTCAAGACGTATCTATTGAAGAAAAAAAGTTATTATATATTATAATATTATAAACTGTGTATGATGACATAATTTTAATTTGAATTCAGGAAAAGGTAAAGAAACAGACATAAAAGCCTACAAGGATATGGAAGAAATGGAATTTTTAGGTTCGGAGACGGAGCTTAACGTTAAAATGGCTGCTTTCAAAAGTGAAACAGAAGATAGTAAGCATCGTTTCTTATGCTGATTTTAGTAGTTTCACCTGATCTTGAAGCTTATATGACTTTTCCTGATTACGATTTGTTTGAAATTTTTCTAACTGTCCTTCTATTTGCCTGTCCGTCCGTCTGTAAACAATTTAATATACAAATTTAGATTTTTCGAGAAGAAAGAATTTTTATATGACGTTTATTTTGTCAGTTCAATTGATTTGAACTATAATATAGATCTAATCGGTATCCGATGGATATCAAATAGAGCTTTTTGGAACTGTTACTGTCAAATTTCCTCTGATTTACAGGATGGTTCATTTTATCAAACGAAATGAGGACTATTTGTCAGGTTTACTTTAACTCACATACATTTAGCTACATAAAAATTCAAAACAAAAATGGGGGTCCGTCTTTTACCATACGGTGCATTTCATGCATGTACGACCCTTTTAAGAAGTTTTCTTTTAAGACGTTTTCTTTTAACATTTTTTTATCAAAATGAATTTTTGGATCAACCACCGTCTTTTTTATCTTAATAAGTCACATTTAAAATTTTGACAAGAAGAGTTTTAAATTACTTTACATAGTAGTGAATAATTTAACCTTTCGGTACTCAAATGTTATTTTTCTGGTGTCAAAAATTTAAAAAGCGATAAAATCATTCAAAAGAAATTACATATTTTAATAAGAAGAGTGGTGAAACTTATCATATATTCAGAAAATAAGTTAAAATGTGGGCGTTTTTTTATAGGTGAAGGATATGGAGATAACGTACAGTATTTCAATCTAAAAGTCCATAAAACAATACAAAATAAGAGCAGAGCAAACATGTACCTCAGAAACATCAGAGGTGAGATCATGTGCCATGGAGGAGTGAGCATCCCTTGCCAACCGGTCACACCCGCCGTGTGCTCCTTTTCATGATCAGGCAATAACGGAGGGAAAATCCGTCGTCAATTCAGTGTATTAATAATGGACTAACAATTGTTATGAAAAACGTCAGTCAGCATTTGACTCAATAATAACTTGATGACAAGGTCATTGTATCGACCATAGAACGAAATAATGACTTTAAACGAGATAACCGATATTCTTGTTTTATCAACTTGCTTGTCAATAATTTACCTATTTTTAGAAATTCCTCATACGCAAATCATGTACTTACGTATCAAATAACATGACAAATAACATAACTTAACAATACTTCTAAGTGTTCACTTAAAAAAATGTCTTTATTTAAAAAACTACTTTATAGAATGGTATGATAATTTCAAATTATTACAACAAATGAGTCTTCTCATCAATTGTAGAAAGAAAATTCAATTTCACCGATGAAAATCAATGTTCCTTGACGAAGCTTAAAAACATTAATCTGTACTTTGCGGCATGTGTTTTGTGTAATAAGCATCTTTTTGTGATCATTATCAAATTTTAAAAACTGGTTTTGCTAAAAAAAAAAACCACACACACACAAAACTTTGGCAAAATGACCATAGCAATAGAAGATTGAGCCATTGGAATGTTGATATCTGGACGATCTTTGCACCACGTTTTACCCAAATTTATTTTAGTGCTTAATTGTACCTGATATTACTTTTAAAAATTATCAAATGGTATCAGAACCCATTTAAACACATTTTTCTATAGGCTGTGATCATTTATCATCACTAATTTATCACAATTTAAATGTTTTTGAAAAAAATTTAACCACATCGGATGTGACCTAAATCTTCTTCGTTTAAAGTCATCATTTCGTAAATTCTATGGTCGATACAATGACCTTGTCAGCAAGTACAATTTATCATTGAATGAAATGCTGACTGACGTTTTTCATACCAATTGTTAGTCCATTATTTATACACTGAATTGACCACGGATTTTTTCCGTTATTGCCTGATTATGACAACGAGCACACGGCGGGTGTGACCGGTCGGCAGGGGATGCTCACTCCTCCATGGCACCTGATCCCACCTCTGATGTTTCGGAGGTCCGTGTTTGCTCTGCTCTTATTTTGTATATTTGTTTAATGGACTTTGAGATTGAATACTGTTCGTTATTTCCATATCCTTCTTCTGAGGAGAAAATGTCGCTTTACACCAGGTTAAAAGAGTGTTAAAGTGTCCTGAAAAAAATCTTAAAAACATGGAAACAAATCATTTTAATCGTAATTAAATGATAAGAAATCGGTGCTCGTGGCAGTCGTATATCAGCTCAAGCAGTCTGAATCATCCTTAAAGCGACACATTAACGTGCTAAACACCCAAGGATATTGACCACAAGGCATTTGTGTGACGATACACTGTCAAATTCCCGGATCTGAATCCCATTGAACTCATTTGGGATTGTAAAAGGAAATGTCAACCCCCCCCTCCCCCCCCCCCGCCTGCATCACAATTTCAATGGTTTGGAAAGATCTATGCAGTACATGTAGGTGTAGCAGCAGATGGGTCAATCTCCTATTCAGGGGTACATCGTATCCAATAATAAAGATTCTCTTGTAATAATTAGAGCGAGTGGTGGGTCTTACTCAATCGAATTTTTTTTTAGTGTGAATATTTATTTTGAGGGTACATCTTTTCCTTGACACTTTGCTTAAAATTCTGACGAGATACTTACATGAAATTTATTAAATTAAATATGCATCATTAACTTAGAATTGAAGAACTTATTTATTTTTATGAATTATGTTCTTTAACACTTCAAAAATGTTAGGCGAACACTTAGAAGATTGGTTCAGTGTATACTCCGTATGCAGGTGATGAAGGTATTTTGCTGCATAAGTAAGTGAAGTTGACGATAGAAAAGTTAAAGTCATCGCGTTTATCATATAGCTTGGTTGTTAGTTTACCTTTAGCTTCTTTTTCAAGTAAAATATTCAAATATATGACACAGAAGTGTCAGACTCTGTGGTACCTTTTATCTCAAGCTCACCAGGATATATCGTACCGACGTAAATTTTTAAGAATGGAAATTTCCATTGTTAATTGACAATCCGTCGTTGATATATCTGAAGGTCGAATTGAAGACAACGACAAGTGTTTATTTCTTTTCACGCATACGATTTTGCATAAATTCTTCGTCATATGATTATAAATAAAAGTTTTCTAATAACGTAGCGCAATTTGTATCCATGGGGTTTCAAATAAATTGCTGGAATACCTGTTGTCCAAAATCCATATAGATATTGTCAATCAGAAACTCAAGCATCTTCTTGATGTCAACTTTAGAGTAATTTTGTGTGCAATCAGAATCTGCTTTAACAAAATAATTTTGCAATTGACCAATGACAAGGTAATTAAATTTACGAGTTCTATTTTTATTGAAGACGCAGCTGTCAATGATATCAAAAAGCTTAGATTTTAATTTGTCGTCGGGATTTGTTGTGTCTAAAGTTGAAAAGTCTTACGCTTTTAAGCTGTTGATTTTTGTAAAATCTTGTGATTTCAATTTGTCCAAAAGTTCTTAAGATTTTTCTAGTATCCACATCTGATTCACATACACACAACTTCTTGAATATATAGTTGCACAGTACCCTTGAAGTTTTTCCTTCACTACTGTCAATATCTTAGTGAGGAGTAACGAAAGAGGCTTGGTTGAACATTCACTGCGCGGGTATATTAAGGAATCATATAAGTAATTTTTCGGGAAATTTAGACTTTTTGAAGAAAATTTAGTTTAATGAATTACCAAAACCACTGATAAATATAAACTGTTATTTACTATTGCATACAGATAAAAGCGTGTCTAACGCAAAGACGTGCATCACAGCCACGGCATCACGTGACTTCTATTAATAGCAAAATTTTCCTTAATATAAAAAGGCTTACAGAACAACAATACCCCGGGGTTTGATAATTTCTTTGAGTATGTAATATAGCTGAAAAATATCTATTTTGTCTGAAAAGTGCTGCTAGAATCCCACTGTCTTGTCCGCAAAATATTTATTCCACACATTTGCACGAAACCTTACCCTTTGTTTTGAATTTTATACATATGAATCGAGATTTTTCGTACAACCATGCTTAACTCGGGATTCTAGCAGCACTTTTCATGTTTGTCAAAACGCAAACTTTCAATCTGTACAAATCGTATGTTTTGAAATATCCAGCTTATTGTTGTTCTGTTGCATTTATTGGTCAAGAATGACGGACGATAGGCCGACCGGGATACGTAATATAGCTGACTGTCTTCGAAAGAGAATATAATCGATGAAAATAAATTAGCACACCTGTTTAATTAATTGAACTCCATATGAATTTAACACAATATTTAAGATATTTCCTTTTAAACTCTATTTTACGTATCTTCGAACATGCCGTCTTAGCCAAATTCTCTTTACACGACATGATCAATTTCCAAGTTACTTGATGTACACATATGACGTCATCGGTGGTAGATTTCAATCATTATGACTGTTACAGCATAACAAAATAAAAACATTTTATTTTTGTTAATGTTTACACGTTTCTAATCATTTTCTAGAGTTAAATTACATCTTTAAATACCAATATTACAAAAACTGGTGTTTTAAAATTGACGCCATCTTGCCTACTATGACGTCATAATGCAGCACTGATTTAGCCAAGGAAGAATATTTTGTATGCTTCCTTATTCCCCCTGCATGGAACCGGCAATGTTTCTTTGTTTGTAAGAATATTGCTAAAAAATGCTGATTTTAGGTTAGGCTAGATTTTGAACTTTTATAGAATTACTTATTATTACATGTATATAAACTATCTATAGTCCCTATATAATCTATACACACGCAAACAGTTCATAACACTACATATTCACCGGATTTTAGGCCGTATTCACGGGAGGGTCAATACACGTGCAACGGCATTGTGACGTCACAATCAAAACATAGAACAACGTTGTAAACATGCAATGGTTGCAACGGCCGCAGCGAGCTACGTATTTGAGCAGAAAAACAATTATCCAAACTTATTTCAGGATTATTTTTTAACATCTGGACGTCTTACACATAGCAAAACTCGGAAAGGAAAACACAGAGGTTACAAACAGTAATCTGGAGATTTTTTTATTTTCAACAATGGAAGATCGCAAATGAAAATGGTGTCGTCATACAGCATTCAATATCTTATTTATTCAAATCCCGACTACATAATCAAACTATATATATTATAAAACAATTATGGACTCTTTTGGTGTTGAATATGGTTTGTTATTCACCAGAAAAATATCCATATTGACCTCGGCTTTGCCTCAGTCAATATGAATATTTTTCTGGTAACAAACCATATTCAACACCAAAAGAGTCCATAATTGTATAATATTTTTACCTAGCATGGTGATAAAACTCATGACGGCCAATTTAATATATACTTTAGGATTAGTATAGAACTTTACAAAATACTCTGTATGCAGCCTCCATGTAAAAAACTAAATCCAAAATTAACTTCTGAAACTACAATTTTAGTTTTAAAAATAATTCGTTCTAGATCCCGTATTATTCTGAAAGGATTGTTTTAGCCTTAAGTTACATTATATTTATATTTGATAATAATCAATATCAAGATTCAAATTCAAATAGATGTTTACTCTTTTTGATACAATTTCTCTCTTATAGAATGGGTAGGCAATTACAACAAGTGGAAGACGAAGATATCAAGTGAGTATTTATTTACGAAGAGAAATTAAATAAATTTATATTTTCTAATGTTCCGTAAGCTCAAAGAAGCTTTTATTTCTAAAATTTGTATACCGGTAAATCAAATTAAACACATTCCTAGAGATGCATTATGCAATTATGATATATCTATATCGGGGAGATAACAACAAGATGTTCGTTTTAAAGGTTTTTGGACACAGATAATACACATCAAAATTGCCACCTTTCCAAAGTATTAAAAATGAAGCTAAAATTTGTGAAAATGCAAGGATGTGTCAATCAAACCCGGCAAAAAATTTAAAGTTTTAATAACTTTTAAATGAAATAAGACTTTTAATTAATTGTTGTGTGAAATGCTTTTGAAATATATATAAGTCGAGATATTATAAAGAGAATATTAAGTTTATATCTGTGTTTAAGTACCTTTAACCTTTTTTTGTCGAAAATTGGCCGTGACATCGTATTTTGTGGGATTCCAATACATACAACGTTTGGGCAAACCTATACAAATTCAACAAAATTCCTTTACACGAACAATATGATTACGTTAAATATGACCATGTCGGGTAAACCGCAAGTGGCTTATTATTTTATTGAAAATAGTTATATGCAAAATTCACAAAACAAAGTAGACCAATATATAAGAAAATACATATTCAGGCAACTCTCGATACCTCGAAATCCGCTTGAACGAAAAAAACTTTAAGATATCAGCTATGTTAAGGAATGCCAAAGGTAGATCATTTTATGCAGAGCTTCGGAAAATCGATTATGACGGTGAAACTGCACAAATGAATCTTGGAGAATAAATGATTTCTTTTTCATACACTTTTGCATATACATGTAGTGATTTCTCTTAATTATTGTAAATATGAATTTTTGTGTAACTTACGTCATTACAACACCATTCGAATTTAAAACCACAGCCAACTTGATCTCGTTGTACTGACAGATATGACGTCATAGACTAGTTTGACACACAGTTTCACTGCACTTGAGATGCAGATCAAACTATAATTGCAATTTGAAAATGTGAAATTTAAAACTAAATAAGCGTGATCTGACTAAAATTGAGTTGTCTTTTTGAATGCATTAATCAATATTTCACAGTCTTATTAAATCGGTAACAAATAGGTCTCTTACAGAGCCGCAGTCAAGCACTTATATTCACAAATGTACAACAATCACATGCACACACCCCTCGAAAATCTGAAAAGTTCAACGATATCCGCTTAACTATTAATAATATTTTATACACATGTAGCTATTGTCTCTACTGTTTTGAAAAAAGTGCCCGGAGCAAACTGTGCGCTGTTGATATTCTCGGTAATTTTACATTATTTCAATGCGTATAGTGTAAATACACGAAGGTTTTTATAGAGACGGCTACATTAAATATAATTTCCGTGAATGGGGAAGTTTCTCCCAGCAATTTTCGGGAACGCACGCTGAACTAACGGTGAACGAACATCGTCAGTTAATGTTTATTTATTTATTCTTTATCTCTAGCCGTACATCATTCTACGCATTCGTTACATGGAAACGAGATTTTCACCCTTACTTATGTTATTGTGATTTAAATTCAAGACACGTGATTTAGGTTGATCTATTCTAAGGTTATAGGGTAGAACCGGTTATATAAATAAAATTGGCTGTAAACTTCATATTGCTATAGAGAAACATCGACATCTTTCGAACGAACGAAACCAAAAACGGGGATGAGTCATTGTAGTCTATTGTATAATCACGGTTGCATTATTGAATTCTTTAATTTTTGGGGTATTTCGATAGATAAAATCCCTACAAGATACCTCAAAACCACGTCTTGTCGTAGTCGCTAACGTGACGCTCCAATACATTTCAATGGACATTTAAACAAGGGAAGGGATTCAAGAGGGGAAATGAAGGAAATGAAAGGAAAATTTTAAAAATGTCATTCTGGTGGATGAAATAAAAAGAAATAGTATGTGCAGATCTAGAAGGGGTCGAAAGGGGAGGGATACTTCACGAAGGGTTGTCGAGACAATAAGAAGTTATGGTCTAAAAGTGAATTGCAAAAGCCTTAAAATTCTTGTTCAATATATTATACAGTATGCTGTGAAAAATAAAATTAATATAGCTTTTAAAATACACTGGTTTATAGCCATATTATAAATCCAGGGGGATGTCCGTTCGTAATTTGTCGGTCGATAAAGCTTCTTCTTAAAAATCTTCATATAATTCTCACGGGTGCTAATGGACAGGACACTCCCCTATTAACATCCTAGACCCAACGTTTTTTTTTTTTTATTTCACTGTAAAAGCTCAAGGACTTCTCGAGATATTGCTTGAAACAAACGTGTTACAGACGGACAGAATTATAATACGAACGGGCAGACCGAAATTAATATCCCCAACTTCCAGGAGGGGGAGGGTGGGAGGTCGGTGCAAAAATAGAAGTTTAGTAAATTGTGTGTTTGAATTAATTTAAGATATATACCGTAAATCTGGATATTTTTACGTCGATTTTATTTTGCGAATTCGGGTCAAAATGGTGTTGATTAATTTTTACGTTTCAAATTTTTGCGAATGACCACTGCTTTGTTTGCATTTCTTATTGGTATTTTATTTTTAAGAAAAATATTTTTGCGAATGCAAATCACCAAGCAGTTTGAAAGCTACCATTTCAATATGCAATCCATCAAACATATTAACATCAAATCTATCTTTACCATAAATCTCCGGTCATTCTCATCGTGTCGTTTGGCAAGAACAAATAACGATTGCTTACAAGCCATCCAATATGACTGTTAGATAAATTCTATAGAAAGAACGAAAATTAAACATATCTGCAATGCGTTTGTCTAGGATTTAAAAAGGATGGTACTGCCTTCAGTTTTCCAAGGCATACTTCAATGTGGAGAGCGAATACGTACCTGTTCTTTTATATCATAAATACAAAATAAATTGATCATAACCTTTTGTTTAACGTTACTTGAAAGAATATTTCACTCAATGGGATTGAACGGAGGATTACTTCATTCATTGAGATTTTACGTACCTCAAAGGAGTGTTTCACTACATGAAATTTCACATTCCTTGAAGAATTATTTCACTTATTGAGGACATTCAAACACAAGGTTTTACTTGGTATTAATGTCAACGTGCACTGGATAGTGAGGAATTGGTAAGAATATAATGGAAGTGCAATGTCCATGATTTGCTACGGAATACGTAAAATACGTGTTAAAAAAAAAATAAATAGGAGCTGCACAATGACAGTATGTAATAAAGATTCTGTGAAAGTTATTATTTTTAATTTCACTCAGTAGTATGAGAGGAGTGCGGATAAGAGATGGGTACACCAAAGCGTAACAGACGGTCGGACGGACATACCGATTACTAAATACCCTTCCATTTTTCAAGCGGGAGTATAAAAAAGCACACTGGTCAACAAAATTACCCCATCACCCCAACAACGATCCCGAGGCGAAACGTACACGTATGTTTCTAATTTGCAACACCTATAATATAATTATTAAACTGAATTGAAATACGTAGAGCTAATTAAATCGATACATTGTAAAATTCTATGAAATGTTAGAACGGGTATAATGTATGTTAATTTTTTCCTTTTGTTTTTTTTCCTTTCTTCTATCACAACTCTATTGAAAATTGTACTTAAATGGGTTGTCTGACCAAAAAGTGTGTTATCACATTTGTGTTCTTGCTTTTGTTAAATGTCGACGCAAAATCTAACAACACAAATGTAATAATTAAAAAATCATTTGATATGTTTTGCATTGTTACATTTAGAATTGATCTCCTCCAATGTGTGATGTTACATTTTGTGTTATTATATTCTGCGTTAAAATGTAATAAGCCCCGTTTATTACATTTTGCGTTGTTATTACATTTTGCGTTCTAACATACACCTTCTATGATTTGAATAGCTACTCCGGCTATTCTCCAGAATGCGAAAAGTGATTGACCAAACCTGTTCTAGAAAAAACGATGATGACCATGCACATCACTTGATTGATAAGATCTTGGATTTGCAAACGATTCTAAAATGAATTGACGATATTTTAATTAAAGAGTAATTGTTGCTAAATGATTCAAGGCATTAATTCTTATAACTGCAAGGTATTTTACTTAGGCATACATAGGGGTGTTTGAAAGATTGACCTTGTGTAAATTCGGACTGACGTTGGTTCCCTTACTCTTTTTAAATATATAATGATTACGTTAAATCTAATATCGATTGTTACCGGTCCCGGGGTCCCTCAGTGGGATTCGAATCTGTTACGTTAGAAACAAGTCCTTTATTCGCCATTCCAAATAAAAAAAAACCTAACAACTGCTCCAGGCAGGCGACATTATGTGTGGTATCAACTTTATTTCCCATATAATCGTATTGACATGTCGACAGACATTTGCTTTTATTTTCTATTTTTTCCCCAAACTAAGAAGGTTAAAAGTTAATTATTAAGATGACAGATGCATACTTTCAATCTTATTTCTATTATCCAGTTTAATTAAGGAATGTTTTTCATGAGAAATATGCCCACGTGCAAGTCCGTGCGAATTAAACACCAATAATTCACACTTACAAGTGTAACTTTAAAACCGTCCTTATATTCACATTTTCAATGTCCTAAAGCATAAAAAATATACTCAATATTTTAATTTCTCGATTCCCTATTTGGTTGCATTTTATACGTCTTTGTAGCCTTATTCTGACCTTATGCTAGCGCACATTTCTTTGTGTAAATTTCTAGGCGTGAGTATACACAAAAATGGTACCGTTGTTGGCTTACTAGAAAAACAATGCTTATGTTAATATTCATAAATTATATATTTTTCAGAGTATTTCTGTTTTATGAACAAAAACGAAAAATTGTTTAAGACGGATCTTATTAATAGATTAATCAAAATTAAAGAATAATTAGTCACAATTACATTTTAGATCGATTTTCCACATTGACTGATGACGAAGTGTGGGTGTTATTCTGTTTTCTGTGTTCTGACTCCGGTCCTCCTGACTTCACTGACACAGAGTGGCTAGACATGCTTAATGAGATACGACAGATAGTGTACCGTCAAGAGAATCCTGTAACAAGTGAGGAAGCACAACAGACTCTGGACAGACTGAAATCACGTGATTACCTTTGGGAAAATCAGGACAAGATAACGGAGGACACAAAGAGTGAAACGATGTATAGGATAGCATCAAAACACCTTGATGTAATATTCTTTTACAGTAGTTATGATACAGCAAGTGTGAATCTGAGATTACACAGATACAACATAAAACCAGGAGAGAAGTGTGTCCGTAGTGTTGGTTGTGATCGTGTACTTATACGCCGTCTACAGATGAACATACTGACTCACGTCACCATGGAGGACAGGGAGATATATGATAAGATATCCCGGATATGTAAGTCAGTGTGAAGAAGTGTTGTTTATTTAAAAAATGTTTTCATTAAACGAACGAATATATTGAATTCATATTACCAATATCACCATTACTGTAGAAATTTTAATACGTTTAAATATTGATCAATGCCAGATACATTTATGTAATTAACAGCAAAAGACAACAGATATTTTTTTATAAAATTAAAATTGAATAATTATATTCAATTGAAAATTAAAAGTTCATGTTTGAGATTATGTTTCTATGTATAATAAAGTACATTTACATGTATAATCTAAATTATTCACTTTATTTCACAGTGAATATCCCAGAAAATAAAATTAAGAGCAGTAAAGATGAACTAGATGAATTTCTAACGGATCTCAAAAGTGGAGGAAACACACATGACACTGTAGATCACGTGACGTGGCTCTGGAGATACAGGAGACAGGCGAGACCTGACATCGTGAGATCGTGCATAGGTCTACATCCACACTGGGACATTTACATCATCGACAACAAACCTTACAGAAAACCAAGTATGAAGAAAGCTACAAAGATGATTATTTGATTTACAAATATGAAAACATAAGGCTTAACGCATTACAATTATACACGTAATCCTTACATAGAAAATTCCATTCATTCGGTTAAGTACAAGACACTGGACGGACGGACGGAGGAAGAGACGAATAGAGATCCTGATCTCGTTAATACCACCTCCCAATTTTCAGGAGAATAGATAACTATACAGTCCCAGTCTGTTGAACACTTATCATACAACAGGGGTTGTTTGTAAAACACCTATATACCCCTCACCCAAATTGCCCGAATTAAGGGTTTAATTTTGTCAAAAATGGCTCGATTGTACCCAAAAGAAAACTTAACTTTAATATGACGTATTGTATTCTTATGATGAATCTGTATACCGAATTTTTTTTTTCAATATATGTTCAAACTCTTTAAAGTAAATGAATAGAAAATGCAAATAATTGGAATTTCTCTAAGTGGAGGGGCATAACTCGTGCGTAAATAGAGCTTGATTTGATTATTCTTTTGATAAATCTGTTTACAAAATTCCATTGCAATATGTCGCAGAGGTAATCAGGAAGCATACAAAATATATTCTACCTTGACTAGATCAGTGCTTCATTATGACGTCATAGTAGGCAAGATGACGTCAATTTTAGAACACAAGTCTTTGTAAAATTTTTATTTAGAGATGTAATTTAACTCTAGAAAATGAATAGAAACGTGTAAATAATAAACACAAATAAAATGTTTTTATTTTGATTTGCTGTGTCAGTCATTTTGATTAAAAATCTACCACCGATGACGTCATATGTTAATATCAAGTAACTTGGGAATTGATCTTTTCGTGTAAAGGAGAATTTGGCTAACAGGGCAAGTACAAAGATAAATAATATGGAGTTTAAAAGGAAGTATCGTTAATATTGTGTGAAATTCATATGGAGTTCAGTTAATTAAACAGGTATGCTACTTTAATATCAACGATTATATTCTATTTGGAAGACAGAAAGCTATATACGTAGCCCGGTCGGTCTTTTCTCTGTCATTCATGACATAAATAATGCAACAGAACAGCAATAAGCTGGATATTTCAAAACATGAGATTTGTACAGATGGAAAGTTTGCCTTCTAACAAAATTAGAAAGTGCTGCTAGAATCCCGAGTTAAGCGTGGTTTTACGAAAAATCTCGGTTCCCATGTATAAAATTCAAAACATACGGTAAGGTTCCGTACGAATGTGTGGAATAATTTTTTCACTGACAGGACAGTGGGATTCTAGCAGCACTTTTTAGGAAAAATAGATGTTTTTCAACTATATTATTTAATCAAAGACATTATCAAACTCCGGGGTATTGTTGTTTTGTTAGCTTTTTTTTTATTAAGGAAAATTTCGCTATTAATAGAAGTCACGTGATGTTGTGGCGGTGATGCACGTCTTTGTATTAGACACTCTTTTATCTGTATGCAAAAGTTAATAACTGTTTACGTTAATCAGCGGTTTTGGTAGTTTATCAAACTTAATTTTCTTTAAAAAGTCTATATTTCCCGATAAATGACTTATATGCTTCCTTAACATATCCGCGGTGCAGCCTCTGCAAAAAAAAAAAAAACAACCGGAAACTGATAGTCGACCAACCGACCGACAGATAGTAAAAAAGTAATACATATATGCCCTCCCTTCTTCGAAGGAGCGCGTCTGTGAGCCATTGCTTACTAGTAATACCCCGCTCTGATGTGAGCATACACATCATGTTAATATACACAAGTTCAGTGATTGGCAGATGCATGGATAAATAGGAAGTCGATATTATATCTAAAAATAATAAATAATTTCAAGCATCTGTAATAATTTGTTGCTGAGAAACCTCGGCAAAAATATTGCCATTGGTACAAAAGGACACATGGATAAACAGGAAGTTGGCATCAGAAGTTGAAACAAATATGTATCCCACCATATGACACACCTTAACAAAAAGTACTGAATTCTAAAGCATCTGTGGTGTGTGCAAACGGACAGGAAGTTGACATTGGATATACGCAAAAATTAATCCTACCATATGACTTGCCTCAAAGAAGATTGTGTTGAAATTTCAAGCATCTGCTGAGTAGGCGCTGAAAAGAGTGCGATGAAAATTTGTGACTTGTGAGACGAACAGACACTCAGATAAACAAGAAGTTAAAATTAGATATAAACAAAAATAAATCTTACTATATGGCATGCCTAAGAGATGATTGTGTAAAAATTTTAAGCTTCTGTGATAAGTAGAGAAAACTGCGACGAAAAATTGTTACGGGCAGACAAACAGACGGACGGAAAGATAGACGGACACATGATGATAAAACAGTATACCCTTTTGCCTTTGGAGCGTGGTATTATTAAAGTATAATAATAAGAATTTAAAAAACATATTAGTAATAATGATGTTATCAATTAGACATTAGTCGCCCGGGAGGTGCAGTGGTACATGTGAGAGCGTCTGGGAGTCAATCCTGACGTCGCGGGTTCGAATCCCAATATAGGTCGTGGAGACCAGTCATTAGGATGAGACCGTATTAACCGAAGACCCGTGTGGTAGTAGGTGCTGGCAGGAAAAAGACTCCTCACTGCTAAATGTCCCTGATAGCCAAGTATAGGACGAAATCTGTAGCTCTCAATTAGCAAGCGGTGGCGTCTTCATATGAGTGAAACGTCCACCTAACGGGACAACAGATGGCTCGATTAAAAAAAAATAAATGTGTGGTGTTTTGTTTCTTTTTCGAAGTAGTAATCAATATTACCGATATCAAAAAAAGTCCGTTTGGATAATTATGTTTTTCTCGTCCCATTCTACATAATATATTTGATAGAAATCATAGATGTTGTTATAAAAACTATATATATTTGAATCATGTCCTCCATATTGTAAGGAAAATAACTGAAAAAAAAAACCTATAAAAGACAAATACATGTATATCTTATAATTATATGTTGTAAACCTTTCTTTGCATTGTTTTAGGTGAATATCTTACAAATCCACCGGGTGCAAGGTGTCTACTGTATTCTTTATTGCTAGCTGAGAAATATCAGCTGAATCTCAATGAACAATCCAACAGCAGCACAAGGGTCAAAATTAAAGACAGATATTTCTCTAATATTACCAATGACGGCTCCTTTGATCTTCCTGGAGGAATCAAAGAAGAAAAAGGTTTGATAACCTTTATATCAGACGACATCCGACATGACGTCATGTACGCCTTTGTTACGGAATGTCTGAGGGAGGACAGTGATCTGGAGTTTTTCCTCACCACGGCGTCACGTGACGTGATATCAGAATACTGCAGATCCTGGGATTATAAAAGAAGTGAGGGAGAAAGATGTCTGTATGTACCAGAACGACCGGAGAAGATGCACGACCTCTTGATAGACAAACTACAGCTGGACATCATCACACACTGTACGGTATCTGATGAGAGGATTCATGGTAGGATCAGTATACTTTGTGAGTATTATTTTCACGAAATTTGATTTTTTTTTGGCTGATATGTTCTTATCTATGGCTGATATGTTCATTGCGTGTTTAGAAACCTGTCGTTGTTCCTTAATATGAGTGGAGACGATCTAAAGCATGACTTCTATTTACCTATAAATAAACCTGTCCACCCCAAAGTGTTCCTATCTTTCCTTACATGTATAACATAATAGTTAATCTTCCATGTATGATATGTAAGTGTGTAACATTTGACATATAATATATTTTCACTATCACTATTTAAGGTGACGTTCCTTGAAGTAAAAATCACTATATATACTTAACTGCTTACCGTAGTTACAACGCACTTTTCTTGTGTATTTTATTATACTACAAAAAACCAATCTCTAAACGTAAGATGTTTTGTGTGAATAAATCGAAACGTGGGTCGAAATCCCATGTCTTTGAAAATATTTAGGTCCTTACAACTTTTTTTAAATAAGTGGTGGAAAATCCCGACCTCAAGTGTTTATGATTTTACAGGCTCCTGGCGCCTCTTACAAAACATATCATAGTTAACTATAGTTTATTATTATGCTTCTTGTAACTTTGCCTTAAATGATCAATATACACAACTCTATTCGCACCTACGGAGAATTCATTATGCTGAAATAGTACAAGGCTTCGTTTTCAACAAAAAATTGATATCACCAACACTAGGAATGAACTCATAACCTCACGAATGGGAAACATACTTGCTACGTATTTATCAACAGATGTCGTTATCTATGTAATTGTATTTTGAAAAACGTATATAAAAACTTAGTTTTAACTATATTTTACTCTCAAATGAAAAATAATAAAATATATTTTTTTCTATAAAAGGCTCATGGGTCACACTGCTCACCTCAGTAACTCTGGCCCTGCTGTTCTTTACCTGCACCCCTTGTAATACCTAATGTGGCCATATCCTACCTCAATGGGTCATGATTTCATAAACCGAAAATTTACATTACCCCACGATGATTTCAAATAGTTATACTTTTTCCTACCCAGTGGTTTTTGAGAAGAAAAATAAAAAAAATATTTTTAAAGATTTTCCAATATTATTGGATGAAAAACTTAGATTCCCTAATGTGTCACCACCCTACAAATTAGTTTCTATAAATACCAAGGGATAAAGGGTGGGGAGAAACTTAAAACTCGAGCCTGTCCATTATAAGGTCAGCAGTTTATTTTACCTATACCGATTTTTGTCAGGTAAGAACATATATAATTTAAGAAGGGATTTAGGTTAACTTTTTGTGTAAACAAATAATCAATTATGAACACTTATATTACTTCATGAACAATGATTAACAATTATTAATGAATACCTTATGAGCTATGGGACAGGTATATTAACATTTTTGAAATATAAATCAGACGAAACCTTTGATAGAGTTTTGTTTAATAGTGGGAGTCCCCAGAGAGGTACTACAATGGGACCAGGAGGCCAGAGAGCGGTATGTGGAGTACGCTAAGAGAGGAACACAGACAGTCCACCACGCCCGGGGGATGATTGTAGGATGTGCTGGGGCAGGGAAAACCACACTTCTTAAACGTTTGCTCGGTTGTAATGAAAAAGACATTAAGGAAGTGAAATCTACTGAAGGATTACAGGTGCATGAAGAAGTATTTGAATTACGCAATGAAACAAAATCTTTAAAAGGTAAGATGCGAAGGGTAATGATGATAAAAAATTAATCTTTATACATGTATCAGCGAAAAATATATGAAAAATTAAGCCCCCTTTCATTCTTTCCATTAAAACGATTGCTTGATTCTTATCTAACATCCCTCGCGAGAATATTTATATTTCACTCATATAGAGACGCCTCAAGTTGCCGGTAAAGGTCTACAAATTCTGAGCTATACTATGCACTTACTACAGCTATTGAGCACTGAGGGTTCTTTTTCGTGCCAGAATTTACTGCAACACGAGAGCTCGGTTTATACAGTCTCATCCGACGGACCGGTCTCAACGTCCCGCAGTGGATTCAATACCTCAAGGACCAACTCTTTACTCTGCTACTCTAGAGCGGACGCTTTAACAACTGCACTATGGTGTAGACTTCCAGTAATATTTTAAAGAAAACAATGGCATTGAATAAAGGAAACAATTCAAAAGTTTCAATACGTACAACTAAACATTTTTTCTCCAAGATGAAGTGTAATAAACATATATATGTTGAAAAGTAAAAGTAAATTTACGCTTCTAAAAAATGATAAATATGTAAAAGGGCTCTTTTGAGTCTAATACTGTTTTCCAAACAAGTACAGTGTAATAATTATGCTTTTAAGCCTAGTTACTTTTTTGTTTTTTAACAATTCCTAATTGATTTGCAGTTGTTGATACTGAAAGTTACTTTTAATGCTGTTCATAATCTAAATCTAAGCTATTAACGAGTTAAATAACAGATGTCACCTTACAACAATCTATAAAACACCAGAAATTGTTTTCAGTAGGGAAACGACATATGGATAACATAAATAAAGAAGGTTATGCATTCGATATTGAACAAAAGACTCTGACTTTGTTTGACTTTGGGGGCCAGTCTGCATACTACGCCTGTCATCAGATTTATCTGACCAGGAGAGCTTTCTATGTTGTGGTGGTGGACGCCTCTAAACGTCTTGACCAGAAGGTGGATAAGAAAGTGTGTGATCAAGATGGAAGCGTCTTCTCTGGATGGACCTATGGGGGTATAAATCGATATATTAAAGAAATAAAGAACGTTATTTTGTGAACATGGCGTTCTGAATAGCAATTGCTCTGCTTGCATATTTTATGATGCGCTAGCGCATCACGGAAAATATGCCAGCAGAGATTTGTTTTATATTTGCATTTTTAGCGGTTGTAAAGAATTTCACAGGAAATCCCGATTTACATAAGGGCGTGGCTGTTGGTCCTCAGTAAAGAAAAACACACGGCTATAAATTAGTAAAAGTAATCAGTGCATCTTTTCTCAAACAATTTATAATGTATTTGCCTCTCAAACACAGTTATCTATATACAAATCATATACAAGCAGCGTCGTCATCACATTCTCCACTTTTTTGTTTTGATGCAGTTGTGACGTCATCAATCAACCCTCTGTCAAAAATCAGTGATTTAAAGCTTAGATGAAAAAAGACAGTGCTTTAAAAATGATTATAAATCTAGAAAACTTTTCTATGGTTATAATTAAAAGTTTTTTAAGTTCTTCTTTTTATATTTAAGAGCTGAAATAGATATACTATTAAAGAACTATTGCTTTTTTTAAAATTTGAAATACCTAAATTTGGCATTTGCATACAATTAAATATATAGACCAAAATTAATTTTTCGTAGATATAAATAAGCTGATTTATAGTGGTTGAAAGCAGAGGGAATATATATATATATATATATATATATATATATATATATATATATATATATATATATATATATATATATATATATATATATATATATATATACTGACACGCAAAAGAAACGCAACAAGAAGTTATCTACAAATGTTTGATTTTTTTATCTTATGATTTTCAAAAGAGAATAATTTAAGGCTAAACTCACTTTTCAGAACTTCAGAGATTTGAAAAAAAAGTGAAATGTTTATCTGTTTACTTTATTAAGTAAAATATGACAGTTAAAACACCCCCCTCCCAGCCATTCAAGTAAAACGTGCAAGACTGTCCTAAACAACAGTTGCAGCTTAATTTCTACGATACAATAGGCTCATTAATATCGAGATCTGAGCGAAGGAATAATTCTTTGGCATTTTTAAATGCCCGTTTTTCAGATGATTAGGTCGAATTTTCTCTAACTAAGAGCAGTGTAGCCACCCTTGGACTTCCGGTACAAGGACTGTCCTAAATGCATATGATACGTAAGACTCTGTTGAGGCGTAATGAAGTGCAATTTCGCATCAGCAATACTCCATCACCTTTACATTGAAATTTTACAGCTAGAGCAATGGAAATGCGTACATAAGCCATTTTCAAGTAGCCTTAGCATCGTTACGGGAAACGAAATGAGAGTTTATTTTTTGAAATATTGCTTCATTACGTATGATGAACAGTAAAAAAACCTTTAAACTCCATAAAATTTCCAAAAGTTTTCTTAAACATGCACTTTTCGATTTCTGTTTAGCAGACTCAAACTTGACTTCCGGTTATGGTATGGAAATCGTTCAACCGTTACATGTAAATTACCGACATTTACCAAATTGAAGATATTCATAATTTTAAGATACAAAATTCTTTACTTTACATAATTATTTCCCCCTAAAGTAGGGTGTTGCGTTTCTTTTGCGTGTCAGTATATATATATATTGGTAACAATCCTCTGTTAAAACTAATGTCCAAATAACTGTCTCTCACTTCTATTCTAAATGACCGTGTAGTGTAGGGAAGAGCCGCCAGAATTCCATCGGCATCGAAAGCAAGTTTTTTGACTTGCCTAGATAGCCGAGCAGTCTAGCGCGCTGTTCCTGCACTGCTAGGAGACAGATTCCGAAGGTCGAGAGTTCAACCCTGGGCTGGGGCGGAAGTGGGTATCCATGTAAAAGTGAATTTCTTTGTGCTCTCTATATTAATATTTCTTCACTTAGGGCATTTATATTAGTATAAGAGTTGTTGTAAAAGGTGCTTAAAAATAATAATTAATTTCATTACAACATGTATTGGTAACAATCCTCTGTTAAAACTAATGTCCAATTAACTGTATCTCACTTCTATTCTCAATGACCGTGTAGTGTAGGGCAGAGCAGCGAGAATTCCATCGGCATCGAAAGCAAGTTTTTTGACTTGCCTAGATAGCCGAGCGGTCTAGCACGCTGTTCCTGCACTGCTAGGAGACAGATTCCGAAGGTCGAGAGTTCAACCCCGGGCTGGGGCGAAAGTCGGTATCCATGTAAAAGTGAATTTCTTTGTGCTTTCTATATATATATATATATATATATATATATATATATATATATATATATATATATATATTTGACATGCATAAAAATATCAAAAGAAATTGGATATTTTTGTTTTATTGGAAATACAATTTTTCAATTTTTGTAGAATGACTGACCTGTGCTCTACCTGAGACTGCTTTTGCGTTTTTTTGCAAGAAAACATCTCGTTATTTTAATATATGATAAAGTTGTAACAATAAAAATGTCAGAAATATTTTGAGGGAAAATAATTACCTTAAGCTTCATATTTTTAGATTACTTTGTTTTCTGGATTAAGTCTTTACATACCTACTGCAGTTATGACAATGAACAAGATCCACAGCCCACAGTTCTGATAGTAGCAACCCATTGGGACAAAAGAATCGGACAGTTCCATGTGAGGATATTTTATTCAATAACACTATCACTTTTATAAATCCCCTCTTAAGGAGAAGGGATATACTGTTTTACCTTTGTGTGCATACATATAGCTGTGTGTCTGTCCGTAACATATTGATGAGCAAATACTCATCGCACGTAATTGATATATATCGAAATTTGATAAGTGGTAAGATACATTTCAATCACTTCCGACGAAACCTCCTCTATCATTGCGTCTCTTCGTACCGAATTTTCGTCACAGTTTTTACAGCAACTACTCATCGAACATTATTGAAATTTTAATCAACTCGTTGTTTAAGCATGGCATATGACAGGGTTTATTTTTGAAATCTGATGTCAATTTCCTGTTTACTCGTGCGTCATTCATTACCAAATTTGCGAGGCAGTTTTCCATGCAACTACTTAGTGCAGATGCTTGAAATTTTAACAAACCCTCTTTTAGAAATACATATGTTGGGACTCATTTTTTGCTTGTACTTGTGACACCTTCTCGTTTATCTATTTTTCTGTCTGATCAAGATTCCTGTTGCATTGTTTTCAGCAACTACTCCTCAAGAATGCTTTAAATTTTAGCAGACTCTGTTTTAAGACATGTCAGAGCGGGAATATTACTTGTGGGTATTCATGGACAGCTTTCTTTCTATACAATCTGCTTGAAAAGTGATCGTGTATATAGTAATCAGGGTGTTCATATATCTGTACGTCCGTCCATCTCTTAATCTTTGATGTACCCATCTCTTCTCTGCAGCTATTTTGTTATACCACTGAAATGGACCGATTCTTTAACAGAATATGTTCATGAAGTGCCATTCTCAACCCTCCTATTACACCTTTTGATCGGGAACATATTTTGGGTTTATCATAAGAAAACTGTAACACTGTCATTTTATATAAAATATGGATGGTTCCAATATATTACCCACAACACCTCCAATGCAACTGGATAATTTTCTTTTGAAAATTTCAGAGATTCTGTATAATTTATTTTGATTTTGCATCTACTATATTGCTTTTCTGATCTGATATATATTTCGGGTTTACCAGAGCAAAATATAGATATTGCCATTATAATCACATTGGAGGAGAAAGTATCTTTTATCAAGGTCATTGCTCATGGTACTTCTATTTTTAGTGAAATTGTTCAGGTAATCACATATGTATATGTTTCAAAATAATCTTCTGGGATTTTTGAAAATGCAATAGATAATAAACTTTTCACTTTTACCCAAATTAGTTCGATGTTAGAAAAAGTAAATTTTGATTATTTGTTATATGATTATAACGGTAATTTGAAGGCCATTTAATTATACACTTGTATTAACTGACTCAGTTTCCATCCACAATGATCAATAGTCAATATATAGATCAATGTCGAACATTACATCCAGTAAGCTTATAAACTGAATACGTCCATTAGCTTTTACAGAAAGACATTGAATATCAAAACAGCATACATGTAGATAGAAGTTTTCTCTTATTAATCCCATATAAAATTATGACAGAAATGGAAAACATTCGATAACTATAGTGATATGAAAAATTGAAAGGAAGATTTTTTTTTATTTGATTTAGGATAAAATTAAATTGATGGAAAACCTTCGCTGTCAGATTCCAATGTCATCTTACTTATCGCAGTACATCAGAAAAGAAAACATTTTCTGTGCAGATTTTGATTTACCTAACCACGATCTAGAATCTTGCATTTTCGACATAGCTTCCCATCAACGATGGAACGAGAACATTCCAAAAGAATGGTCTTTTTTTGGATTAGAAATCAATCAGGAAAAAATGTTAAAACGAATCATGAATATCTCGGAAATAACAACAGTTTCAGAGATTACTGATAGAGGAAAGAGAGCTTCCAATAAAGTTGAAAATGAAAAACTAGATATGCTGAGATATTACCATGATGCTGGAAAAGCATTATATTTCAATGAACACGGGTTGAACGATAAAGTAATAATTGATGTGCAATGGTTTATTGACGCCTTCAAACATATCATCACAGACGAGCTACATTTCAAAGGAATTCCCGTTAACCAAAGGGACTGGAATGAATATTACAAAACGGGAAATCTGAAAGTCCGACTTCTTAAAGAGATATGGAAACACAAAGACGAAGAGTTGTCCAAAAAGCTGAAGGAAGAAGGCGATGGCAACGACGTCCAATCATATGTGAAAGATGCCCGTTTTCTACAGTGTCATAAGGAATCACTTCTTAATTTTATGCAAAGACTTGGTTTGCTTGTTGTTGGTACAGAATCTCACTATGTCCCTTGTATGAATCGTAAAGAAATAGAAAAAGAACTTCTAGATCTCATAAAACAATCAGAGAGGAAATCATCTGTTCTCGTTTATCAGTTTGATTTTCTGCCATTTTTCTTGTTTTTTCGCCTTGTTGTTGCTTGTATGCAAGAGGGTGGTTGGAAAATCCTACAGAATCGAGGGACATCTTGCCTGTACAAAAATGCTGCTTTGTTTTCATATATGGAATACAACATTGTTTTATCCGTTACAGAAGAATCTGTACAACTTCAGGTATTTTGTCTCATACAGGGACATTCTTTGGAAACAGAAAAAACATACATGATTCAAGGAAGAATAGAAGAGCTGTTAAATGATTTAGCACAAACATTTCACAGAAAAATACAGTTTGCAAGAGGCTTTAGATGTCGAATGGACGACGAAGAAATAATTGCTATGAATATAAAGGAGCATTTCTTACCTGAAAAAGATATCCCAAATAGAGACCTCACATTAATGTGTCCTTTGCATTCAATTGATGATCGGCATATCATTGATGCCGCTGAACTTACTAGATATTGGAAATTGTAGAGAGAAAAAAATGTGTTTGTGAAATACTATGCGCCCGGCTGCACAAAGTTCGAAAAAAGCTCTTATTAGCACAAAGGTCAGTGTCGAGGTCACAAGATCAATGACCTAGGTGTCATTTAAAATAACTTGGTGAGTGAAGAACGTAATCATACCAAATATGAAGTCTATCTTTATTAGTTAAAGACGTTATGGTGAAAGTTAAAGTTTGCAGAGAGAACAAATATTTTTAGCATATAAGTCACAGTCAAGGTCACAAAGTCCTTGACTTTGATGTCATTTGAAAGAGCTTCATTAGTTGGATATACATTCCAAATATTAAGTCTCTAACATTCATGGTTCAAAATTATGTTGAAGGTTAATGTTTGCAGACAAACAGACAGCTATATAGCTAGACAGACAGAAAGATAGATAGACAAACCGCCAGGACAAAAACAACATTCTCCACGGATCTATCTATCCGGGCGCATAAAAAGGCATCCACGAACTGTCAATAATTGAGAGAATTGCAAAAGTAACAATATTTCAAAACGCTCGAAAATTATACATTTTTTATACAGGTTTCAGAATTTCAATTTTTTTTCTTCATTTTGTCACTCAATGGAAACTGGAAACATGCTTAGAGTATTCATCTTTATATATATTGGCGTCTGGGATTCATTGTACATTGCTTTTGGTATATCTTTAGCAAACAAATTCTTCATTACTTTTCACTAAGAATATGTACAGTAGCTGTGGTTTGTAATTTTTAACTCTTCGTCATACTTCAATTATGTTTATCTATATCTGTTTGAATAATTTGTTGTTCTTATTTATAATCAAACAGCATTTTCATAATGACAAAATCACATATATATGCATTTTATGATTACGAAACTGAAAACAATAAATATGTGCTATTAATATTAGTTTTTATTACTTTAAGTCATTGATGGATATCAAAATAATCGTCTCATTATGTACAATATTAATCTGTCAATTAGATTATAGATACATTGATTTGATCAAAAATCGGTTTTCAAAACCCTAACAAGGGTTCTGAAAGAACATCAAAGCCATTGATGTTTACCAGTAATTAACTCGGGGTACACCGTCATGACACCTATTATCTTTTTCACTGACCGCTACAATTTGTTTTTGTTGTGGCAGGACGACAGTGTGTAGATTACAGCTGTTTGAAATAACAATTTCTCTTCGTATGAGAACTGATTTTTTAATCAAAAGGAAGTAAAATAATAAAATGCAGTTTTAATATGCTTCAAAAATACTTTGACACATATTTTATCTTAAATAGTTTTACATAACATTAGCCAAACAAATCCCATTTTCGGGTATTTGATTATTCAATTTGTTTGTATCGTCAATTTGAAATTAAAAAAACTGTTTTTATAATAAATAAATAAATGCAGTCACTGTTAATAAGTTTATTTTTTTTATTATTTACTTACTATTCAAAATCACTCATTGTATTGATTTTAAAAACCTAATTATTCCAGAATGCACCAGTACCTCCTGCTGTCTCTCTCTTTTTTTCTTTTCTTTTGCTTTTTTTTAAAAACAGTACACAGTCAAACCAGTATTTCATGAATAAAACAGATTACAGCGAAATAAATACATAGCAAATAAATGAAATAATATAAATGAATAATATAATAATTATTGATAAAATATCAATCTATTTATTTACTTTTGAAATTGAAAATACAAAAAATTAATCAATCATTTATATCTGCAATAAATTGTTTTCTTTAGTTTTATTTTACATCAATAGTTGCATCCTTAGATGTGCTACAAAGTATTTAATTAGCATATCAAATCGACTTTTTATTATTTTAAGTCCATGATGGATATCAAAATATTCGTCTCGTTATGCACAATATTAATCTGTCAATTAGATTTTTGATACATTGATTTGATTAAAAAGTCGGTTTTCAAAACCCTAACATGGTTCTGAAAGAACATCAAAGCCATTGATCTTTACCAGTAATTAACTCGGGGTGTACAGTCATGACACCTATTGTCTTTTTCATTGTCCGCTATACCTTGTTTATGCTGTGTTCAGGGTATGTTCCCCGAATGGCTACTCGAATAAAACAACAAGTAATTATCGTACTCAATTAAGGGGCCCTCTAAGGGGTACAGGTAGACTTACCTGTGTTTACCTGGATAAGCAATATTTTATAAATCAGATATATTCATTCAATTATATTTTAATTCAGAGGGTTTTCTATTTTCCGAAATATACTAAATAAAAATGTAAATAAATGTAAGTAGATAAAATTAAGATTTAAGAAAAGTTAAATTTTTATTGTACCTTTAATTTAATTTTTTCCCAAAATTATTAATAGTATTGATTGAGAACTTACAAAATTATTATCCCTTTTTGTGCTACATTTTCAAACTCTTTTAGATAAATTATCACAAGTGTTTTTTTTTCTTAAAATAATATAGATATATATATGTATGATAAATAAAGTGTTTCTATAAAGCTTTGTTTAATTTATTTTATTAATCTATCATTTTTAATTATCAAAACATTCTATTAAATAATCATAAAATCCAGATGAAGTTTATGAATTTCTTCACCTTGCATAGCAATCCTTTAGTTTCGTAGAAATATATTGAGATGGACTAAATAAATTGTACTGTAATATGTGAGACCTTCATCAGCTGTTCATGTGCTTACTCTTGTATTGTTTACAATTAATTTATTCTGAATGGAGATACACTATAATCATAGTACATGACTTTAAAATTATTATTAATGGTTAGGCAGCATTAATTATGTCTTATTTTTATTCAGATTTTGTTTACAAAACTTGCTGTATTACCGATCGTGTTTTTACAACATCCCCCATTTTCAATAGTTTGTTTACAAATTTTATTCTCTAAGTTTCTGTCTAAATACGGTAAAATAATACATTTTAACAGATTACAGTTATTTATAATTACCGGTTATTGATCTCTGTTCAGTACCAGCGTATCCTTTTACTTACATCTATGTGAAATCGTCATTTTACCGCTCGCGAACTTCTTGTGTACTTTATCATGCGTTTCCTTCGTCTGATTGACCGCTTCACTACTCATCTTGTCACCTGTGATTCTGCTGCCTGATTTCTCATTATCTAACCATGTTGTACATTATTTTATTCTTGAATTATTGAATACGATGCTGACCAATATTTTTGTCCCTTATTTACTTTTTAGTGGTGAACTGTTGTCTTATTTTATCGATCTATCCAAGGCACTATGTTGTGAAGTCGCACTTCCGTATTTGCGTATATCGCTACGCGCACTACCTCTGAAGGCGCCTAGATTCGAAACATGATTTTTATAACAAAACTACGTAGTCTTGGATAATTTCATTTATTAAACTAATTACGTATTTTAGTGTCCATGTAATTAAAGTAATCCGGACAAGGTTTTGTATTGTTCATTATATGTTTATTAAGGGTTTGAATTCTGCTTGTCCGGAGATTGAATATTGTTCGGATTTTCCCTAGATCCGTACAGCGTTTGGATTGGTTATTAATTTTCCGGACAAAAAAGGACAAACGCTGATTGGTGATAGAAGCTTATATATAGGACCCAATTTTACATAAACCGTTGCATCCTAAGATATGTTACATGTGTCCCTGAAACGTTCTACTTTCCCACCTGAACGGTGAACGAACGCTGAGCGAACGGTGAACGAACGGTGAACGAACGCAGAGCGAACGGTGAGTGAACGATGTGCGAACGGTGAACGCAACTTGGTGAACGATGTGTGAACGGTGAACGGTGAGTGAACGCAGAACGCGAACGGAGCGCGAACGCGAGCGCAAAGTGAACGGTGAACGAACGGTGAACGCAAGATGAACGATTTATTCGGAATGCCTTCGGTCTTTTCCTTGTATTGAAATTATTCTTTTATTCTATAATTTTAAATGTCAAAAATAAATATAAATACACAATAGATAAACAAAAGAGAAATAAATAGATAAATACATAAATAAAAAAAATTTTTACACATACGTATGTTTAAATCGACATTTTAATAACAGATTTTAATCGCCGTCAAACATGTATTTGTTACCGCATGTAGTTAAAAAATAAATTAATCTTATATAGTGAATAATTATGCTTATTCTTTTAACTAATAAAATAATGTGGACTTTAGAAGATAAAATTATTACTGAGATAAACAATAGATAAATAAATAAAAACATTTTTTCTGCACATACCTATGTTTAAATCGATATTTTAATAACATGATTTTAATCGCCGTCAAACGTGTATTTGTTACCGCGTGTACTTAAAAAAAAAATTAATATACTTATATAGTAAATAATTATGCTTATTCTTTTCACAAAAAAAATAATGTGGACTTCTGAAGATAAAACTGCTACTTATAGAATGAATTAATTACATTGTACGGGGTTGAAACAACGGTACATGTATTTCCGTGCCAAAGCGATTCTGAGTAAAATAACGGATTTTTTTTTTTTAATTCACAATTATCTGTTGACGTTGATTGTTATCGTACTGCATAAAAATTCGCGTTTTATTTAAATTCTACTGCAAAATATTCTATATTATGTTCCTTTTTATTCTTTTATGACGATTATTTTAGCTAACTTCTTCATGTATCTGTAGACATTTTCCGGCCGTGATTATACTCGGTCAAAATGTTGGAAAGAGGCGTTCAAATTATTTGTAATATATGTGTAGATTAAATTTTCAAAACTAAATAAGTAATGTGTTGTCATAGTTTTATTGAACAGAGAAATGTACGAGAGAGAGAGAGAGAGAGAGAGAGAGAGAGAGATAACCCCCTCGATTCTCAGATATATGTTTTATCAAATAAAAATTCTAATTATTTTTCCTAAATATTCCAAGCAAAAAAGGTTATAAAGGTTATATCTTTTTTTTTAGATTAACAAATCCATTTGGAAGTAATCATTGGCTTTTTCATCATCAAGTTTACACAGTTCACAGGAAGTCCGTGCTATATTTGTAATAGCGTGCTTGTGCTGTCAATCAAAATAATCCGACACAGTGGAGGTGTGGAAATCGCGTTTCACCGAACATGCCGAAGGCAAGGAGTCACTTAGTATTCCAAGAAATTTTAATATTTTTCCCTTTCATTTCTAGATCTGATTTTTGCATTCCTGCAGAAAAAAAAAATAGTTCGAATATATACATGTATTTGGATGAATTCAGTTTTAAATTGAATGTGAAACATATTCCCTGCCAATTTAAAATACTACTGTCGGCACAAGTTTATACTAAACTACTATTGTTTAATGATTGTTTGATGTTGGTTTTAAGATTGATTTTCTTGTGTTACAATAAAAATTAAATATGAATTAAATATACTGAAAAAACTCAATAAGAATTTTATTTCCGGAGAAAAGGCAGCGGGGGGGGGGGGGTGTCTTCCACTACTAAGTCAAAAACGTACTGACATTCCAATTTTTTACTGACAAACTTAGAAAATTACTGACAATGTGCTGTCGTTACTGTAAAACTTAGAAAATTACTGACCTTTTTACTGCCGGTGCTGATAAACTTAGAAAAGTGCTGACAATCTTAGCCGGTGCTGAAAAACTTAGACAATTACTGACCCGTTTACTGTCCCTGCTGAAAAACTTAGACAAGTGCTGACATTTACTGATAATTACTGTCTCTATTGTTCTCGCTCTCGGGGAGGCTGCAGTGGTGTGAAAATGGCTGTGTGTTATACTTTGCGTTTAAAAACAGTCTTATTTTAATTT